GGTGAGAATTTTTGTATATGTTGTTTTTTTTGCGATTTTTCAGGGCAGTAGATTCGGTCGAATCTACATTTTGCCTTTGGTAAGTATAACCTGGTTGATGTTTTCCGTTTAAAATTCCCTATCAAAAGAGAATTTACATCGCGAAATCAGAAGGGGGTTAAATTTTCTTTTTTTTTTTTTTTTTTTTTTTATTATAAAATAGTATTTATTTACAATTATAAAAAATACATTATCTCAACATGTTAAACTTTAAAGTTTTACAATATATATTCGTTTTACAATGAGTTGATTTTCTTTTTCAAAAACGTTAACAGAAGCTACAATTATAATAAAATAAAATAATAATAATACAAGTGTTGCCGTATATATATATATAGTTTTTTCTTTTCATATTTTTAATTTTTTTTTTTTTTTTTTTTTTTTTTTTTTTTTTTTTTTTGTATTTTTGTATTTTATATTTTTTTGTGTTTTTCGATTTTATATTTTTTTGTATTTTTGTTTTTTTAAATAGAAAGACATTGTGCGGAAAAAAGTCGAAAGTTTAGAAAAGTTAAAGAGGAAGGTAATTTAAAGAGAATTCAAGAAGTTTTTATTAAAAAGAAAGGAATTATAACAAAATAAAAGCAAAAAAAATTACAATACTTTTACACCAACACCACCTTACGTACACTACAGAAAATTATTTAATAAGGGAAATTATAGCTCATAAAATAATGGCTGGCAGTGATTTTCGAATTATAAATAATAATATTTTGTTGTAAAAATAATAATACGTAGAGAAGTGGAAAAAGTCACTAAACATATAGTTCTTTTTGAGCTAGGGTGTCAGTTTAGCTCATATGTTTAGTTTCAGTCTTCCGTTCTCTACTTGACAAATTATATTTTTAACACAGAAAAGTTGACAGAATATGTCCGTAGTGTTTCTACGGACATGATAATTATATTTTAAAGTAATGATATTCCTGATTTTCCTGATAATTATCCTGATCACTGCCATTGGGTCAATTTTCATGTTACTAAACATGTGGTGACATCTGCTGTTCCATATCTCACTCATGATGGTTTGGGTGAGTGTCAACAGCAGTTGCGAGGTAGGGTTTTTTTCCGATAAATTCGCGGTTCCGATAGAGAAAATCGAATTTATCGGCGAAAAACCCTTTTGGGACGTCAAGGAGTTATATACATGTTTAAAATATTCCCAAATTTCAACAGAAGGAGGACAGTAGGCAAAGATGTGAAGATTGTCCTCGATTTTACCACAAGTTTTACATTTGTTGTTTTGGACTATCTGTTGCCTTGTGCTTTTGGCTAGCAAGGCCGCAGAAGGTAGACTGTTGTGCAAAAATCGAAAGAGGATGTTTTGAGTCGGTCCGCATGCGTGGGAGGTGAAGTTCTTTTTCCAAATTTGGGTCCACGGTATTGTTGTTTTTGTTGAACCGTTCCAGAAAAGTTCTGCTGGTACGACTGTCTTTTTGTTTTTTGCCACTTCTAAGTAAAAATTTTTTGTTGATTTTAGGGGGATGTTAAAAAGGGACCCGTTTTGGCCTAATATTTCAATAGTTGTTTTGTAGTACTGAGACATTTTGTTGTCCCAGTGTTTTGGAAAGTTGTTCTGTTTTAAAAAATTCCAGCATGGGTTTTGATTTGTAAATTTAATAAGTGAACTTGCTAACCAGTACTTTGAAAAGTAGTAATTATCGTGGGTGTTCTCCTCTCCGCATTCTTTCAGTTGAAAGAGTGTTTTGAGGCGGAGCGCAAGGCTTTGCTCCTTCGGTGATAGAATTCCGAGACCCCCGCTTTTGACGGGTAAGAAAAGCGTCTCTCTTTTGACCGGATTAAAATTGGTCTTTTGCCACAGATTTTCGAAAATGGCGCTGTGCAAACGTTCTATTACCCATTCGGGAACGGGCAACACGTTTGCCAGAAACCACACTTTTGACAATGCTAACGTATTTATCAACATAGTCTTTCCCCTAAGTGACAAAGTACGTAGTCCCAGAAACTTGAGTTTTTTCTCTATTTTGGTTAGAGTTACTAGCCAGTTGAAATTGGTAGTATTACTCAGCCTGGTGTAAAACGTAACACCTAGAATTTTGAAACCGGTGTTATTAGTCCACTCTATGTTGTCCAATTCCGGGTACATTTTGGGATCAAAGCCCCCAAGAGCAAGACCCTTGGTTTTTGAGGCATTGATCACTGAACCACTTGCTTTTTCAAAAAGTTTTACTGCTTCAAAAAAAAAGCGGACTGATTTTACGTCCCTGGCAAAAAAGTTCGAATCGTCTGCGTACTGCTGTAGTTTAAGCGGTTTCGGTGTTCCTGGTAAAGGGAAACCCTCTATTCTGTCGTCCGCTCTGACCACCAAAGCAAGGGCTTCGGCGACAAAGACGTACAACAAAAGAGAGAGTGGGTCACCTTGTCTAACTCCCCTTTCGGTGGGAAAAGGGACTGACAAGAAACCACAATTCAGAATAGATGCCGAAATTTCTGAATACATGGTGTTAATAAAGGATACGAAATTTTCTCCGAGGTTGAATTTTCGGAGAATTTGCAGCAGAAACGCACGATCGACTTTGTCAAACGCCTTTTCTTGGTCTATTGATAAAATGAAACTAGGTAGATTTTTAAATTCAGCGTAATCTATTAGATCACGGACAAGGTGTAAATTTGAGAATATTGTTCTACCTGGAATTCCGCAAGTTTGATTTGGTTCTATAATTTTCCCCATTACTTTTGCAAGTCTTAGGGCCAGCGCTTTTGTGATTATTTTGTAATCAGCGCCGATTAAGGATATGGGCCTCCAATTTTTACATTCGGTGAGATCTCCTTGCTTGGGAATTAGTGAAATTATTGATCTTTTCATAGAGTGGCTGGTGTTTTTTTCTACGAAAAGTATTTCGTAAGCAAGTTCTTCAAAATCTTTTTCTAAAATGTGCCAAAAAGTTTTATAAAATTCAGCTGGAAGTCCGTCATAGCCCGGGGATTTTCCGTTTTCAAATTTAAAAAGGGCTTCTTTTAACTCCGCGCCGGTTAGGCGGGTGTTTAATAATTGGTTTTCATCATCACTCAAATGTTTAGTGATGTGTGACAAGACATAGTTTTGGCTGTCTTTACATAAATTCGTTTTGGTGTAGATGTTTTTGTAATAAGAAACAAGGGAGTTTAAAATCTCACCAGGTTCACTCGTCAATGTTCCGTCGTTCTTGCGAACTTTGGTAATTGACTTGTTCCTCTGTTGAGTTTTTTCCAAACTGTACAAAAATTTTGAAGGTTTTTCTCCTTCTTCAACTAGTTTTTGCTTCGTGCGAATAAACGCTCCTGGGAAATGGAGCAAGAAAAGAGCATCGCGTTTTTCTTTGATGCTATCTAAATTCGGGTTGGCGTTTTGTCGCTCCCGCTGGATTTCGTTTTCAATCCTTTTGATCTGTTTTTTGTTTTTCGCACTTTCCTGAATAGATATATGTTGTAATTCTACCCTAACAAAAAGTTTGCAGTCGTCCCACCATTTTAAAATTGAATTGTAGGACCGTTTTTTAGTTTGCCAATCTTTAATTGAGAGTTCAATTTTTTGCCTATACACTTCTATTTCTAAAAGAGAACAGTTTAATTTCCAGTATCCTGGTCCTCTCCTGGTTTTACTAAAATTGACGGTTGTTGTTACGAACTCGTGGTCGGAGAAGGGGTTGGTGAGAATTTTTGTATATGTTGTTTTTTGGTGAGAATTTTTGTATATGTATGTTAAATTTTCTACGTTGATTCAACGTCAACTTTTTTTACGTTAGCTAAACTTTGTATTTTAAATTGACTCATTCATACGTTGATTTAACAATGAACTTTAATTGGCAAAACGTTGATTGTGGTTTGATATTTTAATAATCACAGAAGATTTTAATTAAGTTATATAATTTCGCAATAGCAATGTTTGGTCGCATACATTAGATCAACGTTGGGTTTAGATTGCAAAAACAATCAACTTTTTGCGATGTTTTTACGTATATTAGAAAAACATCGCTTTATATACATTGAATCAACGCCGAAATATATACATTGGATCAACGTTGGGTTTAGATCTTAAAAACAATCAACTTTTTGCAATGTTTTTACATACATTGGACCAATGTGAATTTGCCAGATGTTTTTAGTTCCGTCGGTAATAACTTTATCATTAACCAAATGACATTAGATCAACGTTGGTTTTGCATTGGAAAAAAGAGCCGACGTTCGCGATGGTTTACATATGTTGGCCCAATGTAAGTGTGCTAGCTGGGATGCTCATCATTGAAATCATAGTTCTCAATGAATTATTTCTACATAAAACATGGCCGATGACACGGGATTTTGAAGTGGGGGAGTACAATAGTCAATTTCTGAAAAAAAATCCTCTACACCTTGAATTTTCTTAATTAAATAAAAAAAAAATCCATTGAAAAAAAAAAAAAGGTGGGGGGGGGGTGAGACATGTGCCTCTCCCTTCCCCCTCCCCCCTCCCCGGCGTTGTCAGCCCTTTAAAACCATAAATTTTTGTTAGTAGTGCTTTCCTCTTGAAAAACCAGGAGTCATTGTTCTGAAAATAAAGGAAATAAATAGTTTCTGTATTTTAGGAAACGTTTAAATAGCGATAACTTTCTCGGACGTCGCACAGTGGGGTATTTGATTGATTTAGGCGGCCAAAAATATTTAATAATCTTTGATTTAAAAAGTTTAACTTTTTTTAGGAAAAGCGGGTAGAGAAGCCAAATAAAAAGAGAAAATAAAAGATTTTTTAAAAATTTATAAAAGATAGACTCCCCCCCCCCCTCTCCACAGCTTTTTTTTTTTTTTACACTTTACTAAATCATAAAAAAGATAAGAACCTATTTTATATGGTTCTTATCATGATATAAACTTATTATATATGGTGGATAACTTTCTCCCTCTAACTTTCACTCGGAATTGAAAGTCAAAACATTGCGGTTGCGTTATCTTAATGTATTCAGAAGCACTTGCAATTACTATGTAACTCTTATTAAACTATGGTATATATTAAAAAAAAATCTTTACAACTATTTATATTTTAACTCAAAATAACTACTATTAAAAGGATGCCGAAAGCTAAAGTTCTTCATCAGAAGACATTCTGGATTGCTCTGAAGACATCCCTGGTTGCTCTGAAGATTTCTCCTCTGTATCAACAAGATCAGTAAAATTAGAAAGTTCAGCTGGAAGTAGCATCCCCAAGCTTTCTTTTAAGAATGGTTTAGTATTTTTTCTTGGTAATTTTTTCATGCCAGGTAAAATAGGATCTGAACTAATTAGTAATCTATTAAAAACGTCGAGGTTGCAAGACTCTCTGGAAAACTTTCTAGCATTGTTTTGACGGTAAAGACGAAAATATTTATTTCGTGATTCAGCTGCTTCTTCAGATAGCTGACCATTAGGAAGCGAACCATGCTCTATTACAATAAAACCATGAATAAAAGGAATTTCATGAATTGTAGGGGTCATCGGATACCATTTGGTAAAACTGGTTATATAATCCCGCAGTTTTTACAGTATATCTTCTTAATTTTTGACATCTATTTTATGTTCACTAGATATTATTTCTAATATTACTTTAAGGCGATATATTAGGTTATAATCTATACACAATATTTCAGCTGCCAACTTTGGGTCTGCAAAATATTGTCAGCTAGTGTTGCCATCATTTGAATTACCAAAACCAGGCTTAGGTACGTGTACAATTAAACCTATTTTTTTTTCTAAAATTCGATTGTATTTCTAGTTTTTTTTGTTTGACAATTAATTTTTGATTTTCTGATCTCGCTTGCCATTTTTTAATAGACAATTTATCAGATAGATGCAATAAATTTTCAAATATTCGGATCCTGGCATGCAAAATTGATAACCAAACTTCAGTGTATCAAGTTATTAAAATCTTTTGATGTTGCACCATAAATATAGCATCTCATAGTTGAAACTTTTTTAGTGGCTGCGTTACACACCTTAGCATCAACCATAATGAGCATCATATTATGTTTAACTGAAAATAAATTCCCACCCACTGTCAATTTTGTATCATGCAAAGAGATAATTGAGTTTTCAATAAGTTTTATCTCTTTATATGTTATATCATTAGATTCTTTGACAAATTTAATTCTTATAGGGCGACAATAACGTGGCGAAGAAGGAGTTAGATTTTGCCAGATCAATCTGTTGTTTTTAGTACAAGTTAATTATAGCGATACAAAAGAACTTTTGTACTACTTCTTCTAAATACATGACCAATCGTGTAACGGTATGGCCTAATAAATCTTGTAAATTGACTGCAATACAGGTTTCAGTGACATAATAAGATTCCTTATTTGGATAACAATCTACTTTTGCAGGATACTATACCAAGGATATAATGTTTTGCAAGAACTTCTATTGATTTCATATTGTCTTCTGGAAAGACCACCTTCTACAAACATGGCCAGTGCACTTAATACCGATAGCTGTGATTTTTTTCCCTGTAAAACGCTAGAGTATGCTATCTAATACATTTTCCCCAGCTTTGCGGAGTCAATAATGTTCTTTAAAATTTTTGAAGCAGTTCTTTTTCCTGTAACACCTAATTCCACCTGAGCAGGACAAATCAAAGTTTCTGAATTTGTGGTAGCACGTATGTTTTCTGTTTTTCTTCTTTTGCTTCTCTCGCTTAATTCTTTAAAGTTCTTTGTTGGCCTACTCTCTTGATGCAGTACTGCAGGTATTGCAATATTTCCATCTAACCAATCACTGTTTTTTATTAAAAACAAACTTTTACCCAACTTTGCTATTGATCATCTTTGTTTTAACTCGTAACTAAACTGCGATAAACTATGTTTTACTTCTTTTATTTATTCTAATTAATTATCTTTTGCTAATACGTAATGTTTTAAAAATATTAATTTCTCATTCATACTTGATAAAATTTGGCTCTGCATTAGATCAGAAAACATTCTTCGGGTCGTTTCCCTGACATTTGACGAACCTAAGATAAACTCCGTTTAAAATTAAAACATGAAGTTGAGTGTTTTTTTATTAAATAAGTTATTTTATAGTTTTGATAAAATATATGATAATATATTTTATCAAAACTATAAAATAATAACTTACTTACTTTAAAGTACACAGAAAAAAAAAAAAAAAATAAGAGAAAAAAAATTTATACAGAAACAAGAAACCCACTGGTCTTTTCCTATCATACACTTAAGAACAGGAAGAGTGAATAAACAAATACAGAGAACAAAATGGCAAAAAATGGCAGGTAATTTTTACATATCATTGAAGTCAAAACCTTAGCCTATCTGTTAATAAAAAAACAGTAACCTGGAAATGCTTGGAAGTATAACTAATTACTTATAGTTTGCAGTGAAAATTGCAAAAAACAAGAGAAAGAAAAGAGTTTTTACAAAACCAACAGACTTATATATAATCCCAAATAAACTAATTAAAACTTTTCAAATGTGTTTACTTTTACCAACTACATTAGAATTCATCACAAAACACTTTGAAATATATTTTGATTAAACTTTATTTGATGCTGATAAATGCCATTAAAATAAGCGACCAAAAGAAAACGCGTAAACAATAATTAATGATCAACTTTGTATATATCCTACAGCTTGTCGTTAAAACCATTCGCGGTTATTTAACGTTTATACTATTCACTAACCATTCAGCATTGCTAAAATAACTTTTTTCATTTATTTTGGAAGTTCTGTAAAATTGAGTTTTGGCCGCCTAAATCAATCAAATACCACTGTGCGTCGCAAAATATTTTCAAAAATTTCTGAAAATCATCTCCATGTTTATACCTATGACTTAGTACAAAAATTTTCAGAAGAAATTTTTTTTTATCTTGATGGTAATTCCATGCCTATGCGTGCGCTAATTGAGTTTATTTTTTCACAATTTTGATTGGTGATTTCGTAAACATAACTTTGTAACTACTGTTTTTTATTTATAACGCCCAATTCCAAATAATTTATGATGTTAAATTCTTATCTAATAATAAAGTAGACGCTAAAGCACATTCATTTGCAGCCGAAAATCGAGTCGGTCCCGGTCAAAAATAGAACCGCGACAGGTCCGATTTTACAAATAAAATTTATTTTAAGTTTAAAAAAAAAAAATTGAAAAATATGTTGTTAATCACAAAGTTTTTTGGATAGCATTTAATACTTTGAAAACGCATTATTTATCCTTCAAGTCAATAGGTTGAGTTGTTTTTTATTTTCTTTCTGCAATTACTGTTATCAGTATCTGAAAAATAACAAAAATGTTTCTTGTTAAGCAAATAAAAGATTTTAGTTTTCTGGAACCACGGTCGTTTGTAAGAGGAAAGTTATTATACGCATGCGCAGTGGAATTACATTTCTTGAAGGTTTTTTAAAATGGCTACGGTAACAGGATTATACAAACTAATCATTGACAACGAGTAATTTGTTTAATTTTAGATAATTAAATAGGTTTTTAACTAGTTTTTTCATGAAATTATTTTGAAAATAGCTTGCAGCTGTACGAAGAAATTTAAAAAATAAAATACAAGATCTCTGAATGTGAATAATATCTACTTTCAGCTAAAGCAACTTTAGTTTTTTTGTTTACAATTTTTAAACCTTTTGAAAAATATTTTTGAGCGTAGAAATTTTTTAATTTAAATTTATTCAGCAAGATAAACCTTTTATCTATTTTGTATTTTTTGCTTATATGAGGATTCAATTTTTTTTGCAGGGTTAAAAGAAAATCTTAATCATTAAACTTGTGTAACCTGTTGCTATGGTGCTCTTTTCCGATGTGGCTATATATATATATATATATATATATATATATATATATATATATATATATATATATATATATATATATATATATATATATATATATATATATATATATATATATATATATATATTATAAATTAGTAAAAAATCTCTTAACAAAATTTTATTTCATTTTACACTGTGTTTCATCAAGACTCATCAGAAATTTGCACTGTTCTTTTAAGAACATTGAGCACTCTATTTTGTAGAATACATTATTTAAATTGTTTAAATATATATATATATATACATATATATATATATATATATATATATATATATATATATATATATATATATATATATATATATATATATATATATATATATATATATATATATATATTATAAATTAGTAAAAAATCTCTTAACAAAATTTTATTTCATTTTACACTGTGTTTCATCAAGACTCATCAGAAATTTGCACTGTTCTTTTAAGAACATTGAGCACTCTATTTTGTAGAATACATTTTTTAAATTGTTTAAATATATATATATATATATATATATATATATATATATATATATATATATATAACATAAACACTTATCTATTTTTTTGATAAACCTTCTGAAGGAGTTGAACAGACTGTCAAAGAGTGCTCAATATTCTTAAAGAAGAGAGCATAGTATTGTTATATGTTAGTAACATAATATTTTTATATGTTAGTAACATAATATTGTTATATGTTGGTAACATATATAGTAACATAATATTGTTATATGTTGGTAACATATATATATATATATATATATATATATATATATATATATATATATATATATATATATATATATATATATATATATATATATATATATATATATATATATATATATATATATATTAGGGCCCTGCAAATTGGCATTTTTTGTTTCAAATTGAATCTCAAAGCAGGTCTTGATTCGCGAATCGAATCAGCTATTCGTGAAAACCAAGTTTAAGTTTGTTTTTTTTTCCAAAAAGATAAAAATATTTCTTTGAACAAATTCTTTTTGCTCAGATTATATTTTTGGTGTTTGTTTTAAAGTGATGTTAGAACTATTTTCAATTACTCTTTCTCCCCCTGGTTTGAAAAACCCATTTCAATTACATTTTAGCTTTAGAAATCTAAAAAAACTAGCAATATTCGCAAAAATATGATTTGAAAAAACTTGAATCTTTTTTTTTCGACTCGAATTGAAGCAACACTTGATTCACGAATCGAAGCAATTCACAAGATCCTAATATATATATATATATATATATATATATATATATATATATATATATATATACGCATACATACATTATATATTTATGCACACTTATCTATGATCAAAATTTTGAATGTTATTATTCCAGGCTTTTGATTTAGTCAATAACCTCAAATAAATCAACTGTATTGCCTGCATCAAAGCAATACCATTAGTTATGTTTTTGATTTTATCGATTGAATGCTATCATTTTGATTCTATCAATTGAATCATCAGTCTGGTTTTGTACATATTGATTCAAAATTAATAAATTATGATAAAAATTGATTTAAAACAAACAAATATTATAGTATATATTTTTTTAGTATTCCAACCATATTCGCGTTTCAACAAAGAAACTTACCTGTTGTAAAGAAGGGAAAAGTAAACTAAAGCAGAAAGACTTTTTCTTGGAACTCGATATAAATATTTTTTGTGTTTCGTGTTTATATTTTCATTTGAATTATATTTTGATCTTTTATTTTGTGTTGATTGATATTTATTTGATGCATAAAATAAATTTATATTTTTTAAATTATACTAATGTTGCTTTTTTTTCTGTTTGTCTCTATTGCATTATTACGAATATTACAAACTTTATATAGCTTTATATCTAGAAATTAAATAGTTTATCAAAGTTATGCTTTAAGTTCAAAACTTGTTTGTGTTTTTATTTATAATATATATATATATATATATATATATTTATATTTATATATATATATATATATATATATATATATATATATATATATATATATATATATATATATATATATATATATATATATATATATATATATATATATATATATATATATATATATATATATATATATATATACATCAGAAAGGAGTATCGTAGCAACAGGTTACAAAAAGTTAACGATTAAGATTTTATTTTAACCCTGCAAAAAAAATTGAATCCTCATAAAAGCAAAAAATGCAAAAAAGATAAAAGTTTCATCTTGCTGAATAAATAAAAATTTAAAAATTTCTACGCTCAAAATTTCTTTTAAAAAGGTTATAAACAAAAACAGTAAAAGTAGCTTTAGCTGAAAGTAGATTTTATTCACATTCAGAGGACTTGTATTTTATTTAAAAGATTTCTTAGTAAAGCTGCAAGTTATTTTCACAATAATTTTATTTTAAAAATAGTTAAAAGCCTATTAAATTATCTAAAATTAAACAAGTTACTCGTTGTCAATGATAAGTTTTTAAAAACGTTACATCCGTAGCCATTTTTAAAATTTTAAATTATTTTTAACTCTACTACGCTTGCGTATAATAACTTTCCACTTATTTCTAAAGTCTAAACGACCGTGGAACCTTTTATTTCTTCTTGTATTTTACCAAGAATGTCAGATTCAGCTGCAAATATATCCAATACGAAATTAGTTTCTTTTATTTTCTGCAATTTTTATATCAGCTCAAATGAAGTTTAATAATGTAGCGTTTAATCGTATGTTTTTGCGTTTGATCGTATTTTTTTTGCATCAGCACTGTAAAAAATTAGAATAATCTTTGGGAACAGATGTTGAGCCTTTAACAATAAGTTTAGTACATTAGGAAATGGCTTATAATCTTCACGTTAGGAAAGTTAGCTTATGGTCATTAAGGTCGCATCAAATTAATTAAAGCTTTTTTTTTTTTTTTTTTAATTATTTATTTAATTTGCCGTTGATAAATATTACAAAAAAGAAATTACAATAAAAGAAAATCCTGGCCGGAGCAAGAAGAAGACAGGTTGTCTTATTACCGAGCCCCGTCACACAAAAATTTACACGCATAATAAATGATAAAAGACAAAAAGATAGTATAAATACAAAAACAAAAACAAATCAAAAACTTCAGCAATAAAATAATTTGTTGCTAACAATCTTCAAGCAGAATAATTTTAAAAATAAAAAAGTAAAAAGGACAAAAAGTCATGAAAGTTATAAAAACACACAAAAAAATGTGTTGTTTAATAAAAAAAAAAAAAAAAAAAAAGCAATATATGTAAACATAAGTATTTGGGCTGATTATTTAATATCATCAAAAATATGAACGAAAAAGACAATTTTATTTTCGTTATCTTTTATACTAATGGTTTGAAACCATTTTAATAAAAGCTAAAGAAAGTGTTAAAGATTTAATTTATTTTTAAGTGATTTAGTTTAAACCTTTAAATTGTTTTAAAAAAAGGTATTTGAAATCTAGTATATCGAATTCCATGTTCAGTAAATGCCGTTTTGAATCATCCTTAAAACTTTGCAAAGAGCAGTTTAAAACGAAGTTTTGTTTTTTACTAAAGATTGGAAGAAATTCTTTCCAAACTAAAGGCCCCCGATATTGAATTTGGTACGAACTTAATTTAAGAAAGTTTATGGGAACCACAAAGTTATTCACTGAAAATTTGGTTCGATATTTATGGGAGATTTCATTAAAGTAGGATTGAAATGTTACTGGAGAAAACCCAAGTTTTGCTTTAAACATAAATATCATTACTTGATGAATATTAAGCTTACAAATATTTAAAGCTCCAAGCTGACGTAAGAGAGGTTCGCATTGTGTTTTTCTATATGCCCCAAATACTTTCCTGCAAGCATATTTTTGTTTACTATAAATTTTTTTGAGTTTAGTGTGATTAGTGCTACCCCAGGAAATGTTACAGTATGAAAGATAGCTGTGTATAAACGAAAAATATAAATATTTTAAAGACTCGTTATTAAGAAAAGGTTTCGTTCGGTATAACATGGCAATATTTTTTGAGATCTTACCTTCAATATATTTAATATGAAATTTCCATGACAAT